GGTCTAGACTGGGCCGTCTCGCAATAGTCCAACCCCAACTTCGGACGTGTCTGCTCCAGGTGTCAAAAAGAAAAGTGCACCGGACTCGAGAGACCACGCCACAGAGCTGCATGTCATCGAGAATGACAACTGCCAGACGGACGGTTTCGAACATGTACCGCCAATCCCCAGTAATCGAGACAATACAAGTCATAACCGGAACGTGTGCCTCAGGCCGTGCGCACGCGAGAGCTCACGACCAATAGGATAGCGAATCAACCACCTTACGCGATACGGGAACAACCGGGACTCATGGTAAATTTCGATTCGAACCGGTATCTTTCTTGTTACCGTACAGAAAAAGAAACCCTGCGACACTGGTTTCTTTCCGTTTCCTTGCTTAGCTTCATCGCTTAAGTTGTTGCATTCGAAATCCTTTTCTACTCATCCGTCTTTGTGTGTCGGGAGAAATCTTGTTCAAGAGCTATCTATTTTTTGTTTATTCGTCTCTCGTGGTTCGGAGGGATTGGTGTTGCTGTGAGGTCTAGTTTGGAGTGTGTTCAGTGCTGGGTTTGTGTGCCTTTTTCTTTTTTTCTTTTTTTTTTTTTCTTTCCTGTCATTTTTTTCCTAATCGTTATTCCCCATTCGGTGTCGCTTTTGGCTTTGTCAGCCCACTTTTTCGAGTCTCAAGAGTGGGCTGTCGGAAGTGCTGCTATTCCTCCTCCAAGGTTCTCAAGCTGACAATCCAAACAGTCCTATTGACAAGGAGATTAGAAGATCTGTTGTTGGTTTTAGGAAGAGTGAGTGCTGTCAGATGTTCCTCGTGACTTCAATACGTTCCCGTGGCCGTTTCGCAACTTCAGTTCCTTCCACCCATTCTTCGGCCGATTTTTGTCCGCATCCTACTTCCATGGGAAGACAATCCTCCATTATGAACTCGGCAGTGGAGGAATCAGTCGCTTACACTTCGTCCGCGGCAGCTAAGCGCATGGAATATATGATTTCCGTCTAGTTGCGCCGCCGACGAATTGTGTTCTATGACACCCACTTGCTATGCCGATGCAAATGGCTCTTCCAGCCGCGGGATCTTAAACAAGCATGGACCAGAAGCGCTGACCGAGTGACTTCCTCTTCTATAGCTCAATCATTACCGACAAAATGTTGTTGTCTCGTCGTGCCTGCTACAAGTGTGGCAACATTGGCCACTACGCTGGTTAGTAGTTGCTTTGGGAAGGAAACGCCTTGGCCCATGCTGGAATTTGCTAACGGGCTGACGTAGAGGTCTGCTCTTCCTCTGAGCGTCTCTGCTACAACTGTGAGTAGACCCTGTTCATTGGCAGCTTATTCATTGCGCATCATTTGCTGATTCAATTACGTTGTTCAACAGGCAAGCAGCCTGGTAGGTTCCTTCTGTGTGTCACGTCGCTCGAACGAGATCTCTGATCGATCAATCGACAGGCCATGAGTCCAGCAGCTGCCCGCGTCCTCGTACGACTGAGAGTAAGGTTTCCGGCCCTCGTGATTGGAACGCACCGGAATGCTGATATATCTCCGATCCAGCCAAGCAATGCTACAACTGCCAGGGACTAGGCCACGTTCAGGCCGATTGTCCTACGTTGCGCCTTAACGGTGCCAACGGCCGCTGCTACAACTGCAGCCAGCCCGGCCACCTTGCCGTACGTCTTCTCGTCGCTCCTAACTTCTTGTTCGCCGGGCAAACCCGTTGACCTTCTCCTAGCGCAACTGCCCCGCTCCTGCTTCCGGTGCTCCCCGGGCCCCTGCTCCCCGCGGCGGATTCAACAGCGGTTTCCGTGGTGGATACGGATACCCCCGTGCTGCTACTTGCTACAAGTGCGGTGGCCCCAACCACTTCGCCCGTGATTGCCAGGCTCAGGCTATGAAGTGCTACGCCTGCGGCAAGCTGGTAGGTGTTCCTGTTATACCTGATGCGATACGGACATTGAGGCTGACCGGCATCTATAGGGTCACATCTCCCGCGACTGCACTGCCCCCAACGGTGGTCCCCTGAGCTCCGCCGGCAAGGTCTGCTACAAGTGCTCCCAGGCCGGACACATCTCCCGCGACTGCCCCAACAACGAGGCCATCGCTCAGCAGCCCGTTGACGCCGCTGCTGCTCCTGCTGCCCCTGCCGCCGCCGCTGCCGAGGTCAGCGCGGAGGCTGCTCCCGTTGCTGCTGCGGCTCCTACTACCGCTGTCGCATAGAGGACGAATTTAATGACTGATTGATCCCAATTTCTGGGAGTCTGTTTTCCATTCTTTCTTTTTTGTAATAGGGTTTGCCGATATCGGTCTCATTTTTTCATTATTCCCATGGTTTCTTCCTTTGCATATATTGCGCCCCTCCTGTTCCACTTCTCGGCACCGACCGGTTTCTATTCCTATTATGTATACGACGAACAAAAGTTTCACGAAGTCTTAGGTTCCTTTATTGCTTGGATCCTATACACGGCTCAGGGTCTTATGGTTGGCGTCTATTGATCTCCTCGGGTATCTTTCTCATTTCCAAAATTTAGGTGCGGCAAAGAAAAGAGGGAGACGAGGCCAGGCGAGGTGAAAGGTGAAGTGAGCGCAGCAGAGACATTGGTGGACCGAAGCAAACGCGCGTTGATATGCATGGGAAGAGGCTTCAAGTTGATACGGATGGGATTGTGTGTGATGAAGATAGTGAATGGTCTATAGGTACCTGGCGCGGTGGTTACCTCCTCATCTTTTCGTACTATATCCTCCAGATATTCGTCAAATGGGAAGCAAAACAAACAAAGACAAAAGCAAAAAGAAGCATTATCTCAGATTCAAAAGTGATCCATTGCGGTATATTGAGAGCTGGGATGAATAAAGCCTTCATGTTGTCGTATCAGTAGCTTACAGGGTACAGCTAACAGAATGATTGGGTGTGGAAAACGTCGCCTTTTCATGCTGTTCAGCATCTGGTCGTAGGTAATTGAAATATTGCCATCACTCGATTGTATGGTGGGCTTAGCATTGCTCTTCTCCCACGAGCAGACCCCGTGACGCTTCACTAGTCTACTTCGTCCTCATACCAGCTGCCTTCGTGCTCAATCTGCATGCTCGCAGCTGCAATTGACAATCAATCATCTCTGTATCTATCTGTCATCTCTGTCCAACTCCAGGTCTCCCCATATCAATCGAATTAAACGACAGTCATGCCCGGCTCAGACACGAGCGACGAGTTCAATGATGATGTATTCATCCCTCTACCCTCATTCTTCGTCATTCCTTATGAGCAATGACGTTGACTGCATGGTCTAACTATCTCCTAACATTGTAATAACATTGTTTCAATGACAGGTCTTCATCGTTGACATCGATACTATCCAAGCCCATGGTATATATATACTCGTCACTATTCGCTTTCTTTCACATCCGTATACTGATAGTATGTTCAAGGCATCGGTGTAGCGGATATCACGAAGCTAAAGACGAATGGATACTACACTGTTGCTGTATGTATTGTCCAGTCTATTATTGGAAGTTTGAAGAGAGTCACGCTGTTAACCTGCTCAGTCTGTTCACGGTGCTACTCGCAAGAATCTATTGAAGATAAAGGGATTCAGTGAGGTCAAGGTCGAGAAGATTAAGGATGCTATTCAGAAGAGCTTGGTATGTATCAACATGACATGATGATAGCTCTGTCTGGGGTTATTGTTCGTGCCAGGGTGAGGTGCTAACGAATTGTCGATATACAGCCCTCAGCTTCGGGGTTCATCACGGCAATGGAACTATGCCATCAACGGAAGAGGATTGTTAGGATTTCTACCGGGAGTAAACAGTTTGATTCTATTTTGGGAGGGTAGGTTCTCTCTTTTTACCTAAATACTACTGTAACGGGGGGAGACTAAGTTGATATCGCTTAGTGGCTTCCAGAGCATGAGCATCAGTGAGGTCTTCGGCGAGTTTCGATGCGGCAAGACTCAGTTATCGCACACCATGTCCGTCGTGGCCCAGCTTCCCAAGGAACTGGGTGGTGCAGACGGCAAAGTGGCATATATTGATACCGAGGGAACGTTCAGGCCTGAGCGCATTGCTCAGATTGCAGAGCGGTTCGGTGTCGATCCTGATGCTGCCCAGGAGAATATTGCTTATGCGCGAGCACTTAATAGCGAACATCAGCTGGAGTTGTTGAATACACTCAGTAAAGAGTTCGCTGGTGGAGAGTACAGGTTGTTGATCATTGATAGCATTATGAATTGCTTCAGGGTCGATTATTGTGGACGCGGCGAGCTTGCTGATCGTCAGCAGAAGTTGAATCAGTTTCTGATGAAGCTGGCTCATATGGCTGAGGGTATGCCTTTTACTCTTGGTATATATATAGTACTACTAGAGGACTGACGTTCCCATGTGCAGAATTCAACATCTGTGTTCTGATGGTATGCGACCCGTCGACATGCAGATGAATATACCCTAATTCAATGCAGACCAACCAGGTCCAGAGTGACCCTGGCGCTAGTGCACTCTTCGCTGGAGCCGATGGCCGCAAGCCCGTTGGAGGCCATGTCCTGGCACATGCATCGGCGACTCGAGTGCTTCTCCGCAAGGGCCGTGGTGAAGAGCGAGTGGCTAAGATCCAGGACTCGCCAGGTTTGTCAAGTGTACACATCTCGTGTTAACGCTCTAACTGTCATCAGACTGCCCTGAAAGAGAGGCGACGTATGTCATCACTAATGGTGGGATCAACGATCCTGATAAGGTGTAGTTCCGATAAAGATATGGTTCGAGACGGAGTATGGGAAGAACTGGGCAACGGCCATGTGGCGCATTGCTAAAAGTGCACATTTTTTTTTTCTTTCTGATTTCTGCTGAAGCGATCTACCTGCGACAGCAATGTACTACAATGTCATCAACAAATTGTTTGTGAATTGAGGCCAAGTACTGTTGGTTGATTATCGGGTAACGCAAACAGCTCTCTCCGCCTTCCAAACTGCCGTTGCAAAATTTCCCGCTAAAGTAAAAAAAGTCTCTCCGCCAACTAATTTGCGGCGCTACAATTTCCGCAACCCCTACCAGTTCGATCACTTTTTCACCTTCTCTCTTCACCTAAAACCAATTACCTCAGAGAGTACCAGACAACATGAAGGCAGATCTCGAGATCGCAGGATTTTCAATCCTGCCCCTACACTTCCCCGCAACCCCAGCATATCCCAAACCGGCAACACACTACCTCTACCTCCGCGCCCATGAGCCTCGCATCCCAGACGCCGACACTCCCCGCTCGATGTTCATCGTGAACATTCCCGTCGACACGACCGAAACCCACCTGCGCCACCTCTTCGGCACCCAGCTCTCCGCCGGACGCATAGAGCGCGTGGAATTCGAGGCCGCCCCAACCAAAAAGAAGGGCATGCAAGCCACCCCGCAAGGCAACATCGCCAGCAGCAAGAAACGCAAGCGTGTCACCGCCGACGAACTCCAAGCACAGCTGGACGATGTCGACCTCCCCGCTACCTGGGACCGCCAGCTCCAGAAGAGCGGGTCGCACGCGATCGTCGTCTTCGCCGACAAGCCCAGCATGGAGGCGAGCTTGAAAGCGGCGCGCAAGGCCGCAAAGAAGGGCACGGAGATTGTCTGGGGTGAGGGTGTTGAGGGCGATCGAGTACCTGCTTTGGGATTGCAGAGGTACATTACGCACGAGCAGTTGAGGTATCCGGATCGGGCGGAGTTGTTGCGCACCGTCAATGATTATATGACGGTGTTTACGCAGGTCGCGGAGGTCAGGAAGAGAGAGGAGGCACGCAGGGCGCAGGAACCCGACGAGGATGGATTTATTACTGTTACGTCTGGGCCGAAGTTGGCGGAGGCTGCTCATGAGGATGAGGCTAGGCAGTTGGTTGAGAAGCAGAAGGAGAAGTCTAAGGGATTGGAGGACTTTTATCGGTTCCAGTCTCGTGAGAAGAGAAAGGAGAAGCAGAACCAGCTGCTTAAGAAGTTTGATGATGATAGGAGGAAGTTGGCGGATATGAAGAAGCGGAAGGGGAAGATTGCAGTAAGTTCACTCCCTCCTTGGATATGGTATGTGTAATATATGCTAACGGTGTCTCAGCCTGAGTGATCTTGTTCTTACGTCCTGTTTGGCATTGTTGGGTCGGTTTAGCATGGCGTTTGGGGGGTTCGTCCAAAAGTGCTTTATTCGATAGAGAATTGGCTTGGAGGGATGCCGGATGATGTGAGTTTACTTCTTTTTTTTTATTAACAGTCTGCACTGCATATGATGAATCCGCTGGGGCCAGAGTAGCAAGACTCAGCTGTTGCTTGATGTCATGCCATGTCTACAAAAACCAGCATAATCCAATCTTCTCACCTACTGAAGCAATTCTCTTTCGTCATTTTGCTTATCTAGATGAGTTCTGGATGCATTGCTGACTTGCTGCTGGTTTAGGCAAATGTTCGCTTCTTGTAGACTAAATATATAACATGATCATTTGATGTCCATAACCCTATTCTACACATATAGTTGTAATCCGTACCTCGCATTCCCTGGATTCTCTACTGTATCAGTCGTCGACATTCAATATAGTAAACGCACAGACCAACCCGGCTTGGCGATGACATCGTCGGCGCATCGCATCGCATCGCATCGGACGAACAATCCAGAAGCAACCAAAGAGCATCAGATCAGATCAGCCCATCAAAATAAACAACAACATGCATACCCATAACTTCTAGCAGAGGCAGCAGCATCCTGAACTCAGAATAACTATCTATCTCGTACCTGCACGCAATCTCCTACCCCACACCACCACAACCACCACCACCCCACTGTTCTTCACCATCGCAACTCCAAAAAAAACCTCAACCTCAACCTCACCAAACAACCATACAATGACATCCACAACACCCAAAACCGAAGGAGAAAGAGGAGGAGGAGGCTTCCTCCCACCCACCCTCCCATCCCCCGCCCCCTCCACCCCACGCCCAAGCACGCCCTCCCTCCTCCCCAAACCGCGAACGCATCCTCTGCGCGCAGGGTCCGCAAAAGAAGCAACAGTGATTAATCACATCGATACGACGTTACTGAGGATTTCGCGCCGGCACGCAAAGAAATTCAGTAGTGCTTATTACAAGCCTGATGATGATGATGATGCTGGATTCAACTCTAATGCGACGGGCTATTCCCCGGAGTCGTTCGAAGCTCGGAGGGGAGGGAATGATGGAGGAGAAGGAGAGGTGCAGGGCTACGAAAGCTTCAAGGAAGTAGCGAGGGATTTGGAGGGTTTGGTGGATGTGCTTTGGGTTAGTGGGACGCGTAAGTACCCTTCTCTCTCCCATTCAATTCTTCCATGTTCTTAGTTGGTTGTTGTTCCTGGGAGAGTGAGTGAGCGAATGCTAATAGAGATGTATGATGTATATACTAGCATCCCTCCAAATCCCCTACCTCATCTCCCTAGCCATCCAGGTCAACTCCTACCTGCCCGAGTATCCTTTCTCAGCGGCGCCTACGTTCCGCTTACTGCGGAAGTTGGATGAGGTGTTTGCGG